TTTCATCTTATTTTCAAAATTGTGTTATCTCTTTAGAAATAATATACATATATCCCCAAGATAAATTGAGATTAAGTCTATAATGCATAATTCTGTCCAACCAGCTAGTCTCTGCCATAAAGTTACTTTCTCCTTTCCATGCTTTGATGCACAGCCCACACTTACAGGGCAAGGATTCAACTCCTCCTACCCCTTAAGGGCACGGTATCTACGTAAAATATTAGGAGTTCTTCTGCACAGGAGATTTGATTCTTCTCCCCATTTATTCAATCAATCATTTTTTTATCAGTATGGGTTCATGGATAGTCATTTTATACTCATAATCCAGTGCTACTTTATTTTGTTGTTCACATTGTTACAGCTTTGGCTGTTGGAAGCTTTTTTTGTTTTTGTTTTTGTTTTTTAAGACAGAGTCTGACTCTGTAGCCGTGGGTAGAGTGCTGTGGCAGCATAGCTCACAGCAACTTCAAACTCCTGGGCTAAAGAGATCCTCTTGCTTCAGCCTCCCAGGTAGCCGGGGCTATAGGCGTGTGCTTATCAGTTATTTCCTGCTTGTGATGGTACTTAGACAGAGTTGTTTTGATGTTGCTAGGTAAGTATAGGATAGACAAAGGGAAAGAAATAGATTTCTCCTAGGGGGAAGTGTTTTTGTTGTAGAAGAGCCCACTTAGAAGGCAGTGGCTTCATAGCATCCTTGTGGAATCAACACCTGCCTCCTTAGCCCTGGTTTTTGTAGTGAGATGTCTTTGTTTCCATTCACCCAGGAATGCATTTACAGAGGAGGATTCCGAATTAGTCGTTAACTACATAGCGAAGAAGTCCTTCTGTCGGCGAGCCATTGAACTTACCTGTAAGTTGATTTTTTTCCCTTTTTGACAAAAGTTAAAATAAATGAGAACAAAGAACAGGCAGATTTATAACAAAAGGCAAAGGAGTCAAGGAATGGATATTTAAAATGTCTTTAGAAACCAGCAAGTAGATAGTTAGACATTGCCATGCACGTCTCTGCTGGCTGGTTTACTGGACCCTGGGGCTAAGTAATTGGGGTTAAGGACTCATAAAGCCTTGAAAGTGGAGGAAAAGAGGAACCTTCTTTTGGGGTGATAGAAGATGGGTAAAGGTCAGGAATTTAAAAGTAACCTCAGGCCTTATTTCTGTTTTCCTGGCAACCAACTCAGAGGACAATTTGCCAACATGGTTTTGGTTGAACACTGTGGTTTGAGGTTTGCTGAATCAGAAAGTCAGGACTTCTGGTTTAAAGAGTGGAAATAAACAGATAATGGAATGGTGCTCTTGAATAATTTCAGAAAAAAAGTCTAGAAAGTATTTGCAAATATTAACAAATTCATGCTTCTGGATGGTTACCAAAAAGGGGGGGTGGGTGGGGAACGGCTGTGGCTCAAAGGAGTAGGGCGCTGGCCTCACATGCCGGAAGTGGGTTCAAACCCAGCCCTGGCCAAAAAAAGACATAAGAATGATAAAATGCATGTTTCTGTGAAATAGAAATTCTCACTTAATGTAGAGTATTATACAGAGTATGAATGTCTACTATACATTATAATTAATGTTTTTACTTTTCTAATCTGTAAGTTTTGACTCTTTAGATTTTTCTGTTCTTGCTCCTTTTCATTTAAAATTTTTTAATTAAAAATTTTATTAGCTGACCAATCTTTTTTTCTTTATTGGAGGGCCATTGGGATAAAGGATCCTTTGAGAACTAACGGGTTCTTTCTAATTACCTGCATTTTTTTTTCTTTCCATGGCTTGCTCATGCCCAAATCAAACGATTTACCAAATAGTTATGGAATTGGTCTCTCCTGGTTAATTCTGCTTGTTGCCAACATTTGTCAGTACTGCGTATCTATTATATACCTTGCTATATTACACACCTTATTGTAGAAGATCTTATTCTCTAATTCCTCGAAGCACTTCCTGCATCATTAAAATGAGGTTCCTGTATACTATATGTAAAATACTAGCTTATTCTCTAAATGTTTCCTGTAGTTTGTGAGATTCCTCCCCTGCAGGGGAGGTGGCCTGGTGGTGTTTGTATACCATAGCTTGGGATATAATAGTAAAGAATCCATGAGAAAGCACTGTTCACGTACCTTCCTTACCTCTTTAACTCAAGGACGAACCTCCCCTACTCAAATCCGATAGTGGTTGCTGCTGCCACACAGCTGGAAGAGAAATAGGGTTCTTACAATTCTTCAGAATTAATCTTGCCCTGGAGGACTCATTATGCTCATTTTAATCATAGTAGGAGTGAATGAGATGTTTTATTACTGGCACCTTGTGGGGAGAAAGAATGATTATAAAATGAAGAAAAAGGTTGTTTATTGTATAGGACTTTAAGTATAATTTTAATTGTATTCAAATGAAAGAAAACACACTGCCAACTCTTATAAATACTTTTATAGTGCAGAGCTTGGGAGTCAGCGAGGATCTACAAAATAAACTAGAAGATGTTGTGATCGACAGGAATCTTCTGATTCTTGGAAAAATTCTGGGGGAAGGTAAGAGGTTTAAAGTAATTCTTTCAAAATGTGGGGCAAAAGGTCAGAAGTTCATTATTTAACAAAATGCCATTTTATGGCTTTGAGTTATAATATAGAAAGTCACATTTTATAATGAGATAGAACTACTTGTTTAATTTATTAAATTGCTCTTAGGATGAATGATAATGATATTAAGAGTTTGTCCTTTTTGAGCACTGATATGTATGTAATATGTATAGTAATATGTAATAGTTATAAATTTTAAATTGCACACAAGCTTTATGTATACCCTGTATTTGTTTTGTTTGTTTATTTGTTTGTCTGAGACACAGTCTTACTGTGTTGCCCTAGGTAGAGTGCCGAGGCATCACAGTTGACAGCAACCTCAAACTCTTGGACTTAAGCGATTCTCTTGCCTCAGCCTACTGAGTAGCTGGGAATAGGGGCACCCACCACAGCATCCAGCTATTTTTTGTTGTTGCAGTTGTCAGTGTTGTTTAGCAGGCCCAGGCTGGGCTTCAACCTGCCACCTTTGGTGTATGTGGCTGGTGCCCTACTCACTGAGCTATGGGTGCCAATTGTACACCCTGTATTTGAAATGTCTTGTACTGTTATACAGCCACTCCCTGGGTTATAAATACAATAGATTCTGTAGGTTTGCTCTTAAGTTGAATTTGTATGTAAGTTGGAACAGTTACATTTACCTTTAATCTGTAATACCTTGCATACATAAGTGAAGTTGTAACTCAGGGACTGCCTGTAAGGTTTAATAAGGTGACAGACTGAGCCACCCAAGCTCCTGATGAGCTGAAGACTAGCAGGTGGCCCAAGGCCCCAGGTTGTGAGTACGGGTGTCTCTGTGGTCAGGGGAGATTTTGCACCGTGCCTAAATAAATGTTTTACTTCACAGGAGAGTTTGGGTCAGTGATGGAAGGAAATCTTAAGCAGCAAGATGGGACCTCTCAGAAAGTGGCAGTTAAGACCATGAAATGTGAGTAATCAGGGATGAAACCTGCTCTTCTGGGGGTGGGCAGTTGTTTCAGTGTTGGGTATTCCGTGAGGCCAGTGATGGTGTTCAGACGTTACGATCTCAGTTGCTGGTGGGTCAGGAGGCAGTGCAGGACACTGGTCATGCAGAGCAAGTTCCTACAGTGAGCTCTTCATGCACGCACTATATATTCTTCACACCCAGGGCAATAACATTTGTTCCATTCACTATCTCTTGCACATTCTCGTGCACACTTGCTCTGTCTCTGCCTCTGTGTCTCTCTCATCTAGAAGAGAGCTAAGAACTCCAAAAGAAGCCATCAATTTCTGAGTCAGGGGTGAACTGGTGTCAGCATCTGACCCAGACGGTGGTCTGGCTGATCTGTCGCGTGTGGTGGGCCCACTTCCTCATTTGGGGATGATTGCATGGTTCTGGGGAAGCAGTGGGCTGCCTGGACAATAAGTTTCCCAAAAAGAAGAGGAATTCTCTTTGGTCAAGCATATGAAAAGCTGCTCTCAAAAGCCAGAACCTCTAAGCTCGTGAGAAGAAAGCTAGCAGCAGGTCAGGGAGGACCTTGTAAGTTGTAACAAAGAATCTGCTTTTATCCGGCAAGGAATAAGTGCTATATATTAGAGTCTACTTGGTGTCCGTATGGAGGAGAACCAATTACAATGTTGACAAAAATAATGGTAGATGTCAGTTAGGACACTAGAATCTGTGCAGATATCTGTATTGATAAGGAAAACTATATTGACTTGCTGACTTGTCCTTTAGCTTGTGAAATAGCTAAAAAGAGACAGATTGTGCTGGACTTTTTCAATACCATAGGACCAACAGGCTTCAGTGGCAGAACAAGATAGCATTTCCCTCCATGTCTTTCTCCTAGAAAGGTGGGACAGCAGAACTGTCTAAGTTTGATCCTGCAGCAGTCTGGCTGGTCACAGCCCATCACTTGGGCACCATGACCATGTGGCATCGCACCTGCTGTCTCCATCATGAGTCACATGGATAGAAATTGTTTGGTGTTTAATTTATCACCATTCTTGATCAATCCTGCTTCCTTTTTAAACCCCTGTACCGGTTAATTACTACTTTTGATCAAGGAATAAAGTAAAATTGGATTTTGAACCTCCCTAAGATTTAAATCTACCATTTGCTATACTGTAAAACATTAATTGGATTATAAGTATAGCTTGAGACTCCTAAACCAAAAGTGGAGGCCAAAGTTTACTTCTGTTCTAAAAAAGAACTACAGTAACCCAGTCACATGGTTCCAGTGATTTTTGCTTTTTGCTAAGTATTTCACAATGGCTAATACGTAGGCGCTGTCCACTGTGAACCCAAGAACATGACGATTCTCCCTACATTTCATCAGTGCAACAGGAACAGAAAATCCGCACAACCAAGAAGGAGGTTCAGAACCAGTCCCCAGAAACTAAGACAGACACCCCGAAGTTAAAATACCCACTAGGACTAAACTCAGCAGGGAGCCAGACTCTGCACCCTTCCTGCAGAGTTTATTTGAGCTTCACACTGTGTCTGCAGCAAGGCCTTCCTTTATCCCCATTTAGGGATGTAGGCAGGGGGGCTGCGAGGCCTGATAGGGCCTGAGCAGAGCCCCTCCCTGATTCACTGGCCTGGCTCTACTCTTCTTTAACTTAGAGTAGCTTGCATAGGAATTACATTCAAGCTAATTATCATAGATTTGAAAGAACAGACTCTGGCTCCCAAGCCCCAGGCTTATCTACTTTTGCCTGGGGGTCAGTCTCTCAGGGAAGGCAGATTCCTACCCCTCTGTCCCCACCTTCCCAAATCTGGTTGATTGCAGGCGGCAAACAGAAGCGTTGAGGGCAAAGTCAGCAGACATTTTGTAGGTGTATAGATTTTTTAAAGTTTTAAATTTGCTTTAATAGGAAATGTAATATATTTAATATATATTAAGCCCATAGTATGGTATTGACACCATGATAGTTGTTCTCATGAGTGATTTCGACCTTAGTTATATATACCCTGTTAAAACAAATTTCCTAAGGCCAGCCTGGCTTTATATTTTTTGTTAGTTTTTAATTGTGGTAAAATACATATAAAATTCATCCTCCTAAGAATTTTTAAGTGTACATTTCAGTGGTACTTAAGTGTGTTCATAAGGTTATACAACCTTCACCAGCACCATCTCCAAAACTATTCATCAAACTCTGCACCCATTACTACTTGTACAGTGGGCTTTGACAATTGTGCAATGTCACCTAACCACCGTTACAGTGTAGCATGTACAGAGTAGTTTCCCAGCCCTAAATCCCCATGCTACAGCCCTAATTCTGTGCTTCAATTATTTGCTCCTGTCTTCTCTCCCGCTGACCACCACCTCACCAACCCCTGACCACCACTCATCTCTCTTCCTTGTCCCTATAGTTTAGTCTTTTCTTGACTTCAGTTTTAAAGAACAAAATTGCTATTTCCCGCTCCCCTTTCCTCAACTGAGTAAATTATTCATGCCTAACATTTTCCATTTTTTTCTTTAGTGGACAACTTTTCACAGCGGGAGATCGAAGAGTTTCTCAGTGAGGCAGCATGCATGAAAGACTTCAGCCACCCAAATGTCATCCGACTTCTAGGTACCCCCATAATGCAAGAGTGGGTGGCCAAGGGGACTCAGCTGATCTACTCTGTGCCACAGGAAAAAATAAGTTTCCTTTGTATAAACCCAAAGTATTTTATAACAGTGAATTTTTCACCCAGAAGGCTTCTTTTTTTTTGAGCACAGTCTCAAGCTGTCACCCTGAGTAGAGTGCCATGGCATCACAGCTCACAGCAATCTCAAACTCTTGGGCTTAAGTGATTCTCTTGCCTTAGCCTCCCAAGTAGCTGGGATTACTGGCACCCGCCTCAACACCTGGCTATTTTTTTGTTGCAGTTGTCATTGCTGTTTAGCTGGCCAGGCTGGGTTTGAACACGCCAGCCTCGGTATACGTGGCTGGAGCCACAACCACTATGCTACAGGCGCCGACCCACCCAGAAGACTTCTTATCATTACATTTTCTGAAGATGATAGTAAAGATAAAATGGCTTTGCATTTTCTGGACACCAATAAACTCACGAATGGTTACAGTGTCCATAGAATTCTAGCTCCAGTTACTTAAAGGGAAAATACAAGGGCTGATCATACCATAATTTTTACTCATTTAAGGTTATTCACAAATCATATACCACTGGGGTAAAGCAATAAAAGTAAACAAATTCCATAGATCATTTTTTTTTTTTTTTTAGAGACATAGTCTCACTTTATTGCCCTGGGCAGAGTGCCGTGGCATCACAGCTCACAGCAACTTCCAACTCCTAGGCTTAGGCGATTCTCTTGCCTCAGCTTCCTGAGTAGCTGGGACTGCAGGTGCTCACCACAATACCCAGTTATTTTTTGTTGCAGTTTGGCTGGGGTTGGGTTCAAACCTGCCACCCTCGGTATATGGGGCTGGTTCCCTACTCACTGAGCCATAGGTGCCACCCACCATAGATCATCTTTGAGAGATTATTTGTTAACCTGTTTGAAAATTCTGATTTCTTATGATCTTGGTACTTTGATAACTTCATGGAATGTGATTTAATAGTGCCACATAACATTGTTTAACACAATCTGGATTTGCAGCTTCGTTAGCTAAAAAATATAAAAGAGGAGATTAGTTACTGAGTGGATGCTGTGTAAGTGACACTAATCCAAGAGAAAAGAGCAACCTGGAAAGAATTGAATTTTCCACTGGCCTTTTCAATTATTATTATTTTTTTCCTGCCCTGTGGCTTTGTTAAATTCTTTGGGGGATCTTTCAAAGTCTTGTATAATTGCACTGTAGAGAAATGTGAAAAACTAATGTTTGGATACAATATTATGTCAAAGAAAGTACTGTTATTCATTCCCAGCCATTACCGTTAGCAGACTCTGAGAACAATTGTACTTTGTAATCACACCACAAAGCCCAAGTGCTTTGCAAGCCTGGCATCAGGTGACTGGCTGTAGCTTGTGAATTCCATGATAAATGGTATTATGGCTTTCTCTTTTTGTAACTGTTGAAATTTAGGGGCCTGGATTTTACCTATAAGCCCTCAGAATTTTTTTAATAGTTTAAAGCATTTTGTTACATTAAGTGGACTTCTTCATGTGAATAAGTGTCTAATTATGACATGAAACTAGTTTGCCCTTGACTCCTAGTGGGTTCTCCATTGCTCAGATTTAGTCTAATAACAACTCCTAGGTTTCTAGATGTCCATATTGGTTACTGATTTATTTTTGAGAACTCTCATGCAAAGATTAACACTAATCTGAAAGAAAAAAAAAATAATGGACCCTAAGCGTTTTCTCTATTTTCAGTAACATAGCATATGCGTTAGAAGCCCTTGTTCTTTTTAACTGTTAACTTGGTGGCACATGGTTTCAATTTGGCCAGTGGCCCTCAGGGCTTTCCTGCTTACACGTAACAAGTGCTCTTTGTGATTGGTTCTATGTTTTTGATTCCAGGTGTATGTATAGAAATGAGCTCTCAAGGCGTCCCAAAGCCCATGGTGATATTACCCTTCATGAAATATGGGGACCTGCACACCTATTTACTTTATTCCCGATTGGAGACAGGACCAAAGGTAATAATCTACTTGCGTTGTCTCTGAACAGTTCTCAGGGCTTATGCAACAGAGTCAGGACTACCAAACTGTCTAACTATGAAAATGAAAGAGGTAAGGAGAGGACATTGACCTTGGTTCAGTGCTCACTCAACAAAATGTTAAAAATGTGTATCTGTCGCCACAGCACGCGTGCTTAAGAGTATTATTTCTGCTTTATGGTGGGGGGTGGGAGGAAGCAGATGGTGTACAGTCTCATGGCCAAAGTCTCATCATCTCTGGAGTCAGTCCTACACTTCATACCCCACATGGCCACATAATCCCCAATGCTCATGGAAGATAGGAAAGCCATTAAATCGGTTCTTAGGGACCCTAAAAACCCACTCCCAATGGCTCTGCAGACAAGCCACTGGGGGGATATGTCCCTGTGTATGACCCATGTGGTGGCATCCTGTACACTGTCCTGTACCGATGAACCTGGATTTACAGTGGCCTGGGGTCAGCCTGGTCACTTTCCCAAAGAGAACACACTCACAGAGTCTTCAACTCAGCCAGGGATGTTTATTAAGTTGATTAGTTCACCCTGTGACTAAGTGCTGGCTCCAGCGGTGCTGAGCTCCAGGGACACTGAAAGGAACATAGTAGTTGTGGTTTCTGCCTCATGAACCACCACTGTTGGTGGGTGAGGAAGAACAGAGACAGGTAGTCAGTTATTCAGAGCGAAGGGGAGAGCTGGGTATGCTGTGGGCACAGGGGCCCAAATGACATGCAGGCCAGGCAGAGTGCCCATCAGCGGCGTGGTGGCAGGATGGGCAAGTGGTAACTAGGCTGGGGGAGGATCTTATGGTGACCACAGTGGTGGTGGCCAGAACTTCCTCACTGCAGTCACCCAAGGAACCTGGGCAGTTTGGAAGTAAAGCCTGAGGTCAGGTGTGATCTCACTGTTGACTCCCCTGATGAGCTGATAGGTCTCAGACTTCAAGGGAGGGAACACTGGAGAGACTTGTTCCTCTCCTCACCCCACCAGGTCATCTGGAATCTTTGCATTGGGTGAAGACAGAGCAGGACGGTGCCTCGTTCCTTCTGAAAGGTGTTTGAGCCCTGTGTTTTCCGGTAGCCTCTTATTTTTGAAGTCCCTTCTTTTTGCTTTGTTCAGTATGAAGTCGCTGGGTGCTGGGTCTGTTGCAGTTCCCACATGGAGGCTGCTTGGTGCTATTTTCCAGTTGTTTACTGAGGGTGAACTTACCTCATCCATCTTTCTCTTTATGGTGAGCCCAGCTCAGAATCAGAAGTGTTGGGGATTGGTGGGCCAGCATGCCTGCCTTCAGCAGTACCCCTAAGGAGGAAAGCAACCCCTGCCGAGTCCCCACAGCACAGAGAAATCAGACAGAGAAGACCTCAGACTAAAGTGCCATGACCTCTGGTAACTAATGAGCTTCATGGCCCCAGGTCCCGATGATTGATAGAGTTACAGTGAACTGTGATAACAGGAATGACGACTGAGGGACCTCACGGGGAAAATCAACCTGGAAAAACACCATCTCTTCATCCCAAGAGACCCATAAATCTGTAGAAACAGCCCTTTATTTAAAATGTGCGAAGGTAGTTGAAAGAAGCAGGCAAAACATGAGAGCCAGTGTAGGGTCAGAAACCTCCTGGGGCCTCCTTTCCTAAGTCCTGCTGACTCTGTCGGCATTTATGCCTGCCTGTGAGGGAGGGGAAGGGATTTTTGTTTTGCGGGGGGTTTTTGGTTTGGGTTTTTTTTTCTTGTTCTGTTCTTCCCAGAGAAGGTCTGAGTGACCTGAACAGGAGAATGGCCCACTTTCTTTTTACTAGTTCCCCATATGGCCCCATGCCCAGACATATTTCCAATCATTTCCATGTGGCTGCTCTTACATCTTTCACCAGCACGAGTACTAACCAGAGACAGGAAATTACAGTAGCCTTACCGCACAGCTATTATCACTGAGGCTCCTCCAAAGAGGAGAAGGGCCTAGTCCAAAGTAGAGAACATGGCCAGGTGACTCACACCTATAATCCCAGCTCTGTGGGAGGCCCAGGTGGGTGGATTTCCTGAGCTTAGGAGTTTGAGACCAGCTTAAGCAAGAGTGAGACCTGGTCTCTAAAAATAGCACTGCGTTGTGGTGGCACCTGTAGTCCCAGCTACTTGGAAGGGTGAGGCCAGAGGATCTCTTGAGCCCAAGAGTTTGAGGTTTCTGTGAGGTGTCGCCATGGCGCTCTACTCAGGTGACTAGGTGCAACTCTGTCTCCAAAAAAAAAGTAGAGAACATTTATAGACATGACTGAGTTTTTTTTCTTCCCTCCCCCCCCCAAGAAATAATGATAGCATCATAAAAACCTTGCAAAAGTAGAATACATTATCCACAATGCCCAACACCTTAGCATAATGATTAGCAACTTCACACATTGTCTTACCACTTATTCCATGCCTGTGTGTCTCATGTACTTGTCATCACCACACACACAGCTGTCCAGAGAGTGACAGCACTACTAACACTTCTCAAGAATTTAGCATAGACGAGGCTGTATTTTGCAAGTATGAATGTATTAGTAGCACAACAACCTGAGGAAGTAGTTACGAATCAAAATTTAAGAGAGGAAACTGAGGCCCAGAGAGGGCAGTGGTGGAAATATAACTGGACCCCAGGATGCAGACCCCATTCCTTCAGCTGTCCTCTGACTGCCCCATCCCCCGTGTGCCCTCCCTGGTGGGGCAGCCTCCAGACAGTGCTGTGTGTGGCTACACTACATCTCTTCAGTGGAGTCTGTTTTGTGTTCATAGGTACTTTCACTCACCTTTTTTTTCGGGAGGAGGGGGGAACAAGAGCCTTATTTTGTCACTTTTGGCAGAGTGTCCTGGCATCTTAGCTCACAACAACCTCAAACTCTTGGGTTCAAGTGATCCTATTGCCTCAGCCTCCCAAATAGTTGGGACTACAGGGGCCCACCACAATGCCCAGCTATTTTTAGAGACAAGTTCTCGCTCTGGCTCAGGCCAGTCTTAAACTCCTGAGCTCAAGCAATCCACCCACCTCAACCTCCTTCCACTCACATTTAATTTTCTGGTATGTTTTATGATTTTCTCAATAATTGGCAGGGGCGGGGGGTATGGATTTTATGTTGTACAAGATTGCATTTTGTGGTGAAAAAATAAAATAAAAATAAACAGGGCTACATGTATTTGTTGGCCAAAGATATCTGTCTTGCAAAGCTTAACTCTTCCCCTTTATTTAGACTCCCATGCAACAAATAGCCTCATATTGGATGTCTTCTTTACATCTCTGTAGAAGTGAAATAGAGGGACAATTTATATATATATATATTTTTAATTATTGTTGGGGATTCATCGAGGGTACAAGAAACCAGGTCACACTGATTGCATTTGTTAGGTAAAGTCCCTCTTACATTGTGTCTTGCTCCCAAAAGGTGTGTCACACACCGAGACCACACCCCCCTCCCTCCTTCCCTCTCGCTGCTCTTCCTTTCCCCCATTCCCCTCCAACAATTTATATTCTTTTCAAAATATTTCTTAAATGATCATACAGTAAAATTAACGTTTTCCCATTTTGTTACATAGTTCTATACATTTTAACACATATACAGATTAATGTACCCATAATTCGAATCAGGGTACAGAACAGTGCTATCGCCCACTAAGATTCCCTTCTGCTACCCCTCTGTAGTAACCCCTTCTACCCCCGTGGCTAACCCATGGTCCCCACTGTTCTGTTCTCTACCACTATGGTTTTGTCTTTTCAAGAATGTCATATAATTAGTGATCTTTGTGGACTGGCCTCTTTCACCTGGCATTATTCCTTTGAGATCACCCAAGCTGTTTTATGTGTCAATAGTTTACTCTTTTTTTTCTTTTTATAGAAAAAAAGTAATACTGTGTAATACTCCATTGTATGGATATACTGAAGTTTATCTGTTTCATCTGTTGAAGGATTTATGGGACATTTCCAGGTTTTGGTAATCATGAATGAAGCTGTTATGAAAATTCACGTGCTGATTTTTGTGTTAGGTCTTCATTTTTCTAGAGCAAATGGTCAGGAGTTGGGATGCTGGGTCATGTTTAACATTATAGGAAACTGTGGCTGCACCCCAGTTTTCCAGCATGGCTGCACCATTTTTCATTCCTACCGGCC